TGCAGTGGTGTAATCAGCTCATGCGAGGGTTGCTTATAGGAATATTCAATTATGCCCAGCTGAATTAAGAGGTATTTTAATGTTCTGCAGTATTACGCACCTTCGTGCATCCATTACTACTTGAATTTGCGAGGCCGTGACACAATATGTCAAGGGCGACATAAACCAGTAGTGCCTTTGCTGAAAACCACTCGTGAACCTTTAAATTATATCATTCGTCTCACAAAGAGACCATGTCGTTTCTAGCAAAAAGCACGCTCCCTCACTAACTTGACTCCATGCGTAGCCACGACACCAGGGTGGAGCATGATGTGTGCGTCAGAACTTTCGTGTCGTTGCATGTACTTTTTTCGCTGACCTTAAAACGCCCAGATGGAGGTTGAATGACAGGAGCCTAATATGAGCAGATCTGCCGTACGCTCACATCGGTTAGGCTCTCAGCCGCACGAAGCCATCATTTTTCGCGAAGGGTTTAAGAGCGTTGCAGTGTAGGTGTTTAAGTGACAAAACCTATGTAATTATCCATAATAGTCATCGCTAACTGAGTTTTAGGCAGCGGAAATGCTGAAGAGTCCGATGACTAGGTATACGGCTCAAAAAATCGCGTACTTTAAAAGAAAACTTCACGGTTCTATGCAGAAAATGAGCATTATTCCGGTGTCTTTATCTCCACTTCTCCTCTTCCCCATTTCTTCTTACCATGTTATTGATCTTCCTAATCCTCATGTTCGCTTAATCCATCTTCGTCCTGACCTCATTCATATGTTTCAAATCCGCCTCCTAACTTATTCGTCGCGTCTTCGATCTCCATACTGTATTCCCCCCCCCCTCCTTCTCCTCTTCCTCCCCTCCCCCACGTCATTCCCGTCCTCACTCGTAGCTTTCCTCCTCGCTTACTCCTCCTCCCCCCTCCTCCTCCTCTCACTCCTCTTCTTATTCTCCGTATTTTCTCCCCCATTTTTTGCCTTTCGGTCCTCGTCTGCTTGTGCCTCCTCATCCTCGTCTACTGCATTCTTCTTGTTCTGTTCTGCATCCTCCTCTTCCTGCGCTAACGCGTGCATTTCTATTCCCTTGCTTGCGTGACTTATGGCGATATGAATAAAATCTAATTGTTTATGCTCAACGCCAAGTGAAGTCCACTATTTGTTGATCTGTAGTCGTTCTCGCGCGCCCCTGTACCTTATTCGCCCTCGCACTCATATCACGTCTTCCGCTTATTTTGCAGACTATGTGCGAAGACAGCCTTCTACGCCATAGCACGTCTGAGTCATGCAGTCACCACTTGTGCGAATTCTGCATTCACTAGATCAGTCAAGCACGGCAGGTAGCCAAATCGATTTACCACATGTGACTGTTACGGGCTTTAGCGGGAACTCGCTACCCCTGCTCGGCTCTGACTGACGAGCGTGTACCAGGGGGGGGGAGATCCTGCACGCAATGCATTTGCTGCCATTGCTCATCCACCCCTCACCTTAAGGCGACCTCGTCCTGAAGAGGTATGGAAGGCAATTCTTCGGTAATTATTCGAAGGCAAACAGAGGGAGGGCCAGAATTGAAATTAGAACCCTAGACTGGTTTCTTTGATGTAGTATACTTTGCCTGATAGAAATGCGAACTGTTTGAGAGGACAAATGCTATCTTTTTTTGTAAGTCGGACCTCGATTCGGAATGTTGGTAATTTCTATCAAAATATTCATGTGATCTAGCCCGGATGCATTTAAGAGAATCAAACACACAAACCGACCTCTAAATGGAAATAAATACGTAATAGAAATCGACCCCGAAATAGAAGGCGATTTAAGTTAGAATTGTTATTTTAGGGACTGGTAATGCATTTAGAAGATGAGCCAACACACTTAAGTTACTCAAGTTAGCTAAATATTTGGCCTGCCGAACGATATTATTTGCGCTCCTAAACAGCTCCGCAGACGTGTTATGCTACCGAGGGTGATTTCCGGTTCATGATGTCTAGTCCATAGACCTTCATGGACTAACTTTCGACATATCATACCATATCGTACATATTAATTATTTTAATGTTTTTCCCTCCGTAAGCGGCTGGATCACGTGATCGACCTCGCACTGCCATGGTAAGTATCGACAATTACATGACCCCATTTCCACACGCGTTCTCCTATTTTAATCTTTATTATGTCTATATTGAATGTCCATATTTTGCGACATTGTTCTGTGTTCATGTCCTCATAGTGGTTCAATGATTCTAATATGATTATACTTAGTGTAGTGATTCAAAGGGAGTTCCATGAGTAATTATGCCGGGAGCGAACGCCAAAGCGTTTAGTGGAAATCAAGAAAACAGCGCGTTAATGAAAAATCGGGAAATGAATGGGTTAATAATAGGTTAGAAAGGGAGCAAGAGAAAAAAAGGTGATCAAAGCACTTGGAACTATCGATGCAGGGCATCTGACCATATGGAATATATACGGGCAGCGGAAGCTTATTGTTCTATTCTAAGGTTAAATTTCAATATCGGCAAGAGGAGGCCATATACTATCCCCTTTGAGCATCTATAACATCCGCTTAGTTAGTTTTAATCACAGAACTTATTATCTCTTGACCTGTACTGACTCATCAGACGAATCGACACAGTTTTTATGAATTTGTGCGAAAAGTGATTCGTGAATAGGGTGTACCGAAGACCACTGCGTTTGTCTATTCGTAGTGGTGCTTTGAAGTTGATGGGACTCCGACGGGTCTTTAATTAAAAATTATTATTATTATTATTCAAAGTGTCGTCAAGGCAATCGGATGAAAGTTTTACCCATTCCCTTTTTCGGCGTTGGAAACCGAATGCACAAGGTCGAAGTACATCCTCCATGTTTTGGTGAATGCTGTCGATCTCCTCTTTGGCGCCTCAAAGTGGGCACCAGCGCCAGATCAAGGGCAGCAAAATACTGAAATCATGAAGTCGATGTTTATGAAGGTGTCCAACCACTTGGGTCGCCTTCTCAGGTGGCCTGATGTTGCAGCGAGTGCGGACCATCTCACTTAAGATGAAGTCTGTGAATTCCATCCGTCGCTGACCCTCAGACAGCGATGGTCGAACACCACAAGTTTTTGATCATTTTTCATGCAGATAGAGGGTCTATTTTTTGGAAATGGACATATAGTGATGGGCTCATATGATCCTTTGCTGTTAATTCTTCAGCAAACTCACCAGGACTGTTTGGGACTGCCCCCTCATCCGTCAGAGGCAGTCAACATTAACGGATGTGAGTGCTGCGCTGATGTAAACAAAGCAGACGGCCGTCGGTGGCTGGTAGTTATGGCGGGGTTTAAAGGATATGTCAAAGTGTGAATATTTGGTCCACGCATCAACGCACGGCCCGACGTATGAGACCTTTTCCACGGAAGTTGTAATATTAGCCCACTAAATTTTGCGCTCATTTGTGGTCTAATTCGCCGTTATTAAACGTAGGTGACAGAAGGAATCATTGGTGTGGGACCGCGGATTGTCGAAGTATGCTCGTGTTCGAGGACACAAAATGTGGCAAAGATGATTCCTGTCTCGTAATTTAAAGTCAGTGGCGTGAGTGGGTCGTGAGCTATCCAAGCCACTGAATTGGTTGGCGTCGGTTCATAGAAAACGCTGGAATGCGCGAGCATTCCTCTGCATTCTTAACCAAGAACTGATAGTCTGCAGTCCCCATCGGTGCAGAGCGGGCGTCTGATGCATATTCGGACTTCTAGTGCCAGAATCGGGACGCTGGGAAATCAGGACCGCGTGGTAAATTGACTTTTCAGTCTCCATCACAACGACACGTGCGACTTTCGGCAGATGCAGTGTAACGATATCCGCTTGGGACAGAAGAATAATGCATTATTGGATTGTTAGCCAACTAATGATCAGCTCACGCACTTGTGCCTGCAGGCCCCCTTATCCACCACTACTGACACCGCTGACACTAAATGCCGGTCAGCGCGGCAAAGAAAACTACTGAACTCCCTGTCATCGTCGTCTGTGGTTTTAAGGGGTGCGCAACTGGGGAATAAAGAAGAGGAAGAAGAAGAAGAAGAAAGATAGAAGAAGAAGAAGAAGAAGAAGAAGAAGAAGAAGAAGAAGAAGAAGAAGAAGAGGAAGAAGAAGAAGAAGAAGAAAATGCAACTGGACCAGTAGAGAGCTGTGAAGAGATCAGATGCTTGCGTTCGTAGAATTAATGAACTCAGAGCAAACAACGCCGTTTGCTTTTTCTAGCAGTGCTCACAACATTCAGTCACAGATCTCTGTGACTGCCTGCTTTCACGCTAATATTGCACAAGCAATGGTCCGTACTGACCTGTTTCGTCTGTTCGATATTCTCTCGGAAGTGGACTAAGGTTGCGAATTTGGCACTTTCTTGTCTGTATGCGTTTTTCACTCGCATTTCTGACTAAATCTGTGCTTTTGAAGTCGATTTTTAATCTGCGGGCGAAGGTTGACTGGTCGGGTCTGTAGTAAGTATATGGCCCCAGGAGCATAAATGTGTGATTATCTACAGAACACCGTATCCCTGTATGTCCCTAAAATATTTTAGCTTTTCCTTAAACTCTGAGAAGGTCCAGTTGTCAGTTTGGCAGTTTTGACCGAATCCAACCCCGGCTGTCAAGTGAGCTTTGGCCTCACTGTTTGTCTGGGTTGACGTATGACCTCCACTAGCTTAAAATATGAGTATACATGGAACCGAAACCTACTACATATAATTCGATTCCCGCCCGCACGGTTTTCTTGTCGACAGAGCACACGTCAATTGATTTGGCACGCAATGTGCGACTTCTAACCACCTTCACCTTGATCAATGAAAACTTGCAGCGCCCCTTTTCCTGTGCCAACTATCGCCCAATGAAATCCTCCGTATCTCACCATCGGCCAATCAGAGTCGGTAGGTCGTCAGTGCGTGCGTGCGTGCGTGTGCAACGTATGGGGCCACCGTAAAAGGCGGCGCTTGTGGCACTCACGGCATTCCGTCTCTCTCTCGCTCCTGCTCTGGTAATTACTCCAAATGGCGCCCCGGGAAGCAGAACTATTCGAAGACCAACATCCCCTGATTCGAAGCTGCTCTGCACTGAACGAAATTCGTCTTGCTCAAGACATTAAAGACTTGACCATAGAGGTAGCTTCCCTTAGTTACGACGGACATTTGTGCGTTTTAGGTCAAGAACGGCGATGTTCTTCACGTCCATCGAATAGTGCTGGCAGCTCGCATTCCTTCCTTGCGAGCGTTTCTCAGTGGCCCCCTCGGGGAGGAGAATTCGGTCTTAAGATGGCCGACAGCGCCGCTCAGGTTGGTTCTTTAGGTTTCGCTTACTACTCATGCACTTTTATAGTCTCGCAAATGCGCTCGTCCAGTATGTGTACACTGGCCGGGTGGAGATGACACAGAATAACGTGATGGGCATGATTGCGCTTGCAAGAATGCTGGAAGTCCCCACCCTGGTGAATTGGGGATTGACATACATGATCAAGAGGTATGCAATTTCCCGACTATTCCTCTCTAACTGCCTGATCTAAAGAGTCAATTTAGAGAATTTGCCAGCCACGTGGGACTTTGCCAAGTCTCTGAATCTCGAATTACTGGTGGATACGTGCATTGGACTGATGAGGGAGCATTTTGAGGAATTCATGCCAACTGCACTCTTTGCTCGTTTGCCGGCCGAAACCGTCCTCAGCCTGCTTCGAAGCGATCGTCTCTCGGTGGGATCTGAGGAGGAGGTTGTTGCGGCGATTGCGCGTTGGGCTGGTGCCGGTGGCCAGGCCGGCGATGAGAAGCTGAGAGTTCACGCCCCGGCGATGTTGAAAGAGGTCCAGTGGCAGCTGACGACAGCCCGATGGCGCGATCGCCTGATGAAAGATCATCCAACATTTGGGAGAAGTCCGGAATGTCTGTAAGTTTACGCTATTTCAACCCTGTTATTTTTTCTTAATAAAAGTCAACTTATGCTTCAGATTGAGCGGTGGACTGGAGCTGCAGACAAGGACAAGCCGGCCCGCCCCTTCAACTTAAGGCCTCGTCTACACAGAACGGCCTTCCTCTTCGGACCGGACAAAGATGGGCGGGGCAGGTGGTCTGTCCATCGCGTCGATCGGCACTTACAGCAGGCAGAACGCGTTGCTGACATGAAGCCGGGTCGATGGTTCGCCTCCTACAGCGTCGTGGGCGGTGAGTTGTCGGAGTTCTGCGTCTCCTCTTCGGCGCATTTTGTCTGCTTTGGATTTTTTGCTTGTTGAAGTCCAGCACCTCTGTCTGCGGCAGCATTACAGCATTTGGTGTTTTGTAGGAAGAAAAAAGCAAATAAATCAGGTTCTTAGCTAGATAAACGTCTTGTTGCGACTGATGCCTGCTTAGGGATTTTTTGTTAGTGACGGTCATTCTGTGTAAAGTCTCTTGACCCCCAAACTGGGCGTTTGTGCATTTATTTTTCTGATAGAGAGCATTTTCGTTGTTGGAGGAGGAGTGAACGGCCTAGCGCTAGTTGATGTTGACGAGTTTCTGGTGAGAGAAGGACGCTGGCGCGAGCGGGCGCCCCTCGCCGTTCGACGTCATTTCCACGCCGCCGCCGTCGTGAAGGTCCACGCCGCCGCCGCCAACGAAGAGAATGCGTTGATTGGTGTTTTTGGTGGCTGCTTCAAGAAAGGGGACAGCTGGACACACCTCTCCTCCTGTGAAGTCTACGATGTCAGTCAGGACAGGTGAGAAGATGCTGGTTGTGGCGCATCTGTTTTACAAAAAAATATTTCTCTCCTTCTACTCACTTCCCACCCCGCCTGTCCTGAACAGATGGCACAAATTGCCCGATCTGCCAGAGAAGAGGCTCGGCCCAGCTGCTGCCTGCCTGCCCGGCGACAGTCGGATTTTCGTTTTTGGCGGCCGTGATGGCTCCTCCCAACTAGCTTCCGTGGTCTTCTGCCATCTGCGCGCAGACTGGCGGGAGAAGGCGACCTCAACGCGCACCGCTGACTTTTGGCAGCCAGCTGCCGCCATGAGAACTGCGCGATCCGGGCTCGCAGCGACACCCTTTCGGGGAGCAATCCTGGTCGCCGGTGGACGGAAGAGTGGAAAGACTCTCAACGTGGTGGCGATGTTCTCACCGCCAGACGCCAGGAGCCCCCTCGGCCAGTGGACAGAGCTGGCCGGCATGAAGCAGCCTCGCTACTGTTTCACTCTTATCACCTCCGCCAATGCCGTCTTTGCTCTTGGTAAGGCAACACACAATAAAACGAATTCTTTCCTTCTCTTCCTCTCTTTCTCTCTCTCTCTCTCATGCCATTCGTTTGCCTCATCCACGTAGCCAATCTTACATGGCACAAGAGCATTAAATTACCTGACTTGCCGTTGGAGGTTTTTCATGCGCACTGCGCCATTACAGCCAGAAGTGATCGCCTCGCTGTGCATACTGCCTAACCTCCTTTTTAATATCTTTTCTCTCGTGTTTCCTTTTTCCTCTAGTTAAACTTCACTATGATTATGCAAAATTTGTAGGCAACGTGGACGCACCGAGTAACACGGTAGAGACTCTCACGGCACCAGGAGGTTCAGCTGACTTAGACTTGACATCTTGGGTCTGGTCGTCCGAGAGCCCGGTGGAGACACTTGACGACATTGCCGGCGCTGCAAGCGTCCGCATGTAAAAGTCTGCGCTTATTTATTGTTTCATGTTAACTTGGAGTGCCCTCCATTGCATTGACCTTAAAAATAAATGACATGCAAATAAATCAGCCTTGACATTTGTTGTTTCAAAACTTCGGAAGGATGCGAGAGGTGTCCAGCATATGGGACGACTACGTAAACTAGTTAATTTGTTCGAGGCAGGTGCCACCCAGTGCAACTAGTACAAGTGGGCTTATGTTGAATTTTTGTGGTGTTAGTATGTGCTTCTGCATCTACTCCCTGCTTCCTCGTGCTGAAGCATTTCGCTGCTAATCATACGTCGACTTGCTACCACAAAATTCCCGAATTTACCGTTTCCAAACACTGTCCTCTAGATACATTTGCCTCTTTCTTGACCTGCTAGCTGAGATAAGATAGTGTTTCACCAGTACAGGACTTAAACGTGTAGAAAATCAGTGCACTACGAAATAACAACAATTAAGATTTCTGACCCGAGAATGCAGATTTGGTTCGGACCGCATGCAGGCAAGTCAACCGAGAGGTACTCAGTTAACATGAGGGTTCGCTTACCTTGTAGCCTCCTGTGGGGTTGCAGACGGAGCCTCATCTTTGAGATGGTGATGCAGTGATCCGGAGGACTAAATGTATGTCATGTGAGGTAGCTGATCGTGAATGAACCTGAACTTCTCCGGCTTATCCACGCCGGAGGACAAATGCGTGCTTTGGATGCTGTACCCCTTGTGTCTTCATCATTTATCTACGACTGTCTCTGATGACGGCTCCGAGTGAGAATCCGAGACATTAGACCAGAAAACCTGCAGTAGCAGCAGCAGTAGTAGTATTAGCGGCGGAGAGGTAGTAGTGGTTGTGGAAGTGGAAGCATTTGTAGCAGTATTCGAAGTAGTAGGAGCATTAGCAGTAGTAGACGTGGTAGCAGCAGTAGTTGCAGTAGAAGTAGTAGTAAAATTTGGAGGAGTGGTAACAGTAGTATCGGTAGTAGCGGCAGTAGAAGTAGTAGTGGTAGCAGTAGTAGACTTTGCAGTAGAATTAGTGGTAGTAGTGATGGTGGTAGTAAAAGTTGAAATTAGTAAACGTGTAGGAAGCAGTAGCACTGACAGTATAAGAACTAGTAGAAGTGGAAGAAGCAGTGGCAGTAGTATAGATAGTATCAGTAATAGAAGCAGTAGTAGTAGTAGTAGTAGTGGTAGTAGTAGTAGCAGTAGTAGTAGTAGTAGTACTATTAGCAGTAGTAGTAGTAGTAGTAGTAGTAGTAGTAGTAGTAGTAGTAGTAGTAGTAGTAGTAGTAGTAGTAGTAGTAGTAGTACTATTAGCAGCAGCAGCAGCAGCAGTAGAAGTAGTAGTAGTAGTAGTAGTAGTAGTAGTAATAGTATCAGTGACAGTAGTAGGACTGGAGACCCATTTGTTTTTATCAAAGGAATACATGAGTTGAACGTTCTTACCGTGTGACCATACCGGACTCTATCACCACCTTAGTGTAAAGCGCTTTAAGACTATACTGGATATGCGCTGTAGCCAGACCACAAACAACAGCAGAGAGGCCTAATGCAGTGTTTGTGAAGCATTTCGCCCCTGGAATCCTACCCTATTGCATGTTACCGTCTATTTTGCCAATATCCTGCATTCACGTTTAGAATATGATCATGTGAGTCGACACTATCTGCCTGACTAAGCCGCGCAGTTGCATGCACCACTAATGCGTGTCTGACGGCCAGACCCCTATCGGCTACTGTATGCCCTGAGCCATGGGACGCTCGCACACCTGACGAGGTAAAATCGATCGCGTTCAATACGTATCGTGATATCGATCGCAGCACGTGCACGTAGCTTTTCTCAGATGGCCTAGTGTTAGTCACTTTCTGTTGTCCGCATTTAGCTCATTACTAACAGTTGCACAGCCATTGGCGTTAATGTTACTAGTATTACTTCAGTCCGTGTTGCCTATGCCACAACACTTACAAAAGTTGTAGTATTCGTAGTGGTGGTAGTGGTAGTGGTAGTAGTAGTAGTAGTAGTAGTAGTAGTAGTAGTAGTAGTGGTATTATTAGTAGTGGTTGCAGTATAAGTAGTAGTGGTAATATTAGCATTGGTGGTCGTGACAATAGTAGTATTAGGGGAGCAGTAGTGGTAGTGGCAGTAGTAGTAGTAGTATTAGTAGTAGTACTATTAGGGGTAGTAGTAGTAGTAGTAGTAATAGTAGTAGTAGTAGTGATGGTAGTAGTAGTAGTAGTAGTAGTAGTAGTAGTAGTAGTAGTAGTAGTAGTAGTATTAGTAGTAGTAGTACTATTAGGGGTAGTAGTAGTAGTAGTAGTAGTGGTAGTAGTAGTAGTAGTAGTAGTAGTAGTAGTAGTACTGGTGGTAGTAGCAGTAGTAGTAGTAGTAGTAGTATTGGTGGTGGTTGCACTAACGACAGTATCAGTAGTAGCAGCAGTGGTATTATTAGTAGTGGTTTCGGTATTAGTAGTAGTGGTAGTACTAATAGTAGTCGTGGCAATTGTAGTAGTTGTTTTTGTTATTGTATTGGTGTTATTAACAGTACCCTATGGTAACAAAATCACCGCTGACATTTACCCATAGCAGCAGTACTATGTTTGCATTTCCCGGATGTATTCGATCTACTTACTGCAGCGGCAATTCGTCAGGCACCGGCAGTAGCCACATTAGCCAGTCTAATTTCAGAAGACTTAGTGCGGTTGTTCTGCTTGTCGCTTGTTGCTGTCGCGCTACACGCGAGAATAGTAGAATTTAAAATAATTTCCGTACTGTTGGCTGTCGTCAAATTAGTATTTACATATGCAGCCTTTTCGTTGTAGTCTTGGTAATAGTAGTAATATCAATGGCGTAACTAATAGTACAAGGGGCAGTGGTGTTAGCAACTGTACTAGAAATATGGTTGGTGGCAGTGACACTTTTGGTGATTTTGATGGTTGTACCAGCAGTAGCAGTCGTAATTTACTGAGTTGCAGTAGCTGTGGTTGTATAAAGGTTGAGTAGCAGTAATTCTATCTGTGGAAGTATTCATACCGCTGCAACATCCGCTATCAAACGTTGTAATATTGACAGTATTGACAGCGGCAGCATTAGTAATAGTAGTAGCTGTCGTCTATGTAGTGGTTTCTGATTTCCAAACCTTACTATTTTTAGAAAGATTACCAGCAGTCGCAGTATTGTTCTTCACTAACAGTGGCACTCATACTAGCGGTAGTACTAGTTGCAAATCAGTTGGCAGTATCAGTCTTTCAGGTAGTATCTGCTGAGGTATTTGTAGTACTTTTACTTATTGTAGACCTTGCACTTCCGACCGATGAAGTAGTCGTAGTGATGCCAGCGGTACTGAAATTTCTTACCGCCTTACTACTGTCGGGAGTGGTATGCCCGCCGATTGACACCAATCTCGATCAGATCAGATCAGATCAGATTTATTAAGGGAAAAGTAGGCGAGCGCCTTTGAATTCCCTTTTGGTTACAATAACGTCAGAAAAAAAAACAATGTGTAAGGCAAGTGTGAAAAGAATTAGGTAAGTAATTACATACAACAAGCATTGGTCGTGAATGTAACGTTAAGTGGTACTTGCAGTTGTAGTATTACTAGGTGCTGCAGTATTCATAACAGTAGTAGAGGTCCTGGTATCAATAATAGTTGTGCTGCACATTAATGCAGTAGTACTCGTAGAAATCGTGCTGGTAGTAGTATTGGTAGTAGTAGTAGTAGTAGTAGTAGTAGTAGTAGTAGTAATAGTAGTAGTAGTAGTAGTAGTAGTTAAAGTAGTATTTGTTGTTGTGGTAACAGCATCAGCAGTATTAATAGTAATGGTTTTGACAGTAGTGGTTGTACTAGTAGCAGAAGCATCGGTATCAGCCATGGCAGGCGATGTCGTAGACGTAGACGTCCTCCCGGTATTAGTAATAGATGCAGTTGTAGTATAAAAAGTATTAGATATAGTGATTACAGTTTTCCTACAGGTGGAGGTAATATACCTACGCACAGCAGAATTAAATGCAACAGTCTATGTAGTAACCGTATGGGGATAGGTGTCCTCTGGATACAAATTGTGATTTTCGTTCTTGTAGTAGTTTAGTTGTACGGACTTCAATAGGGGCGAATCCACTCGCCTTCCTTACTCTTCATGCGGGAGACATATGTCGTAGCATCAGAAACGTCTCTTACTTCAGAGACAGAAGTCGTCCTACTACCCCGCAATAGCAGTTTTACCATCAGACTTACATTGTATTAACCTCTTTATATGCATACATACAGTAGGTAGGCTAACTCATGGACTGTCAACCGAAATTCCGAAAAGTATTTTCGTTTCTAAAAGATTACTTTAAGAGGGTTATAGAACTAATAATCGTGCAGCATAGTTCTATGATAATTCAGTTACCCCAGGATGCCGGCTTTCGAACGAACTTCTTTCCGACTGCATGCGAAAACTATACTCTATAAAAAAATACTTATATAGTATGCATTTTCCCCTTGATCTTCGATGCCTTCCAATATTCAATTTTATTTCATGGAAAATGGGCCTAAAAATATCCATTCTTTTGCTCATTCGGTAGAAAATTACGTCTTCCCATTTTACACTTGAGGGGAGGCTATAATTCAGTTTTCAAAAACTTTTCTGATTCTTACATAATTTTGAAAACGACCTGCCGTTGCATTTGCATCCAGATTTTCCAAACTACAAGCCGTATATTTTACCGCGTACTGAAACCCATACACTTCTCTACGGTATTGGAAGGAAACCATACGGGGTTTATAAAATTTAGCAGGGGATTTAAGCCATATAGTTAACTTTACAAGCCCTATTGGCACATGCAGAGACCTGACGTTTTATGAATGGCCATTTCACGGTATTAAAAGTCTTACAATCAGAAACTTTTTTAAACCGAATTATTCCCCTCCTTAGAGTATAAAATCTGAAGAAGACGTACTTTCCTACCGAATGACTAAAGAAATGACTTTTTCTAGGCATGTTTTTAAAGAAACATAATTGAATATTTAAATGCATCGAAAACCAATGCTAAACCTGCATGCTACATATGTAGCCATGGAAGACGCTCAAATCGAGTGCTAATCCCACCGCTATCCCACATTTTCTTAAAAAGAGACTTAAAACATTACGAAGGCAGTCAAAAAATCCTTCTGTGAGCTCATTATCAGCTCATCTAAGAATTGTTGAAATATTCGAACTAGCTTCGAAAATGAAGCTCGCGTGAGATAGGCGTAGAGAGTCTTTAGCTATTAATGACATGAATGCTTCTAAATCAGTTAGTTCAGTTCAGTTCAGTTTATTGAGGAAAATAGGCGTAAGCATTTGAGTACCAAATTTGCAACGTAAAAAATGTGTGGGGTACAGATAGATGTTCCGGGGTGAAATAGTTCGAACATGCCCATAATGGTGGGACAAAATGAGAACGAGTTACAGGGGGTGAGCTCTACTTCTCATCGCTCTTGGTCATTTCGAAACATAGATATGTCAAGATTCTTTTTAAAACTTTGTATAGATGGTGACATCACAACATCTGCCGGAAGCTCATTCCATGGTTTTACCACCCGGACCGAGAAGGAGAACTTCCGCACATCAAGCCGTGCCTGCTGAGTGCGCAGTTTTAACGGGTGACCTCGGAGGTTGGTCGTGGTAGCAAATTCAAAGAAGTCCTCGAAGGCCGGACTGCAATCCAACCCTTTTACAATGCGAAATGCTTGCAAGAGATCCCCGCGAAGTTCCCTTTTTACTTAAAGGGAAGAGGTTTATATTTACTAGGCGGGTTGCATAAGGAAGGGAGCTTTGGTCTCTAACCATCTTCATGGCTCTCCTTTGAAGTCTTTTGAGGCAGTTTTGCTCCTCAACTGCCCACGGTCTCCAGGCTTGTATGCCGTACTCCAAATGCGGCCGGACGAATGTTCCGAATGTCTTTGAGAAAACATCTTCGTCAAAGTCCATAAACGCACGCTTGATGGCGTTCATTACGGACATTGCGCTTTTTGCCACCCTCGAACAATGGGCGGATGGTTTTAGGGAACTCGTCGTCAGCACCCCGAGGTCCTTTTAGGCTACGACCTCTTGTAGGACTGCACCGCCAAGAAAGTTGTCTCTTGTGCTGGCGGGTCTGGCTGTGCTGCCTAGGCGAAGTATGCTACATTTACCAACGTTGAACCACATGATCCAAAGGTTTGACCACTCCTCCAACCGATTTAGGATCACTTGCAGTCTGTCTTCATCGGCAGGACCCCGAATTACACTCCATATCTTCATGTCATCTGCAAACATTGTTACTTCGTAGTCTAAAGCTCTTGCGGCATCGTCCACGTATATAAGGAACAAAATGAGTTCCAATGCTGAACCCTGTGGGACATCACTCCCGACCATAGCAGGATCCGATTTCCCTTGACAGATGCACACAACCTGGTGTCGACCCAAAAGGAAGTTTTCGATCCATTTGAGGAAGTTGCTACCGAGCCCTGTTTTTTTAGTTTATGTAAGAACCTCTGGTGTGGCATGGTGTCGAACGCCTTCTGGACGTCGATGAAGGCTATGTGGACAGCGTGCCTGTCGTCGAGAGCTCTGGTTCAGCTCTGGAGAGATTGCAGCAAGTTTGTCGTGCAGGACCTTCCTTTCCGGAACCCATGTTGGCTTTTCGACAGCAGGCCATGAACTTCCAGGAAATGCATCATTTCACTCTTTATGATCCTTTCCATAACTTTGCTGAGAATACATGTCAAGCTTATGGGTCTTTATTTTTTCATCGATGCCCTGTCACCTCCTTTTTATAGTGGGGTAATATGCGCCAGCTTCTAATCGATAGGAAATGTTCCAGTGTCAAATGACGTTTGAAAGAGCATCGACAAAGGCACAGAAAGTTCACCGGCAAGTTCATTGAGAAGCTTGGGTGGAATCTTGTCTGGTCCTGACGACCTCATTTCGCTCAATGCCTCTAATTCTAAAGTCATTTTGGCGAACACGTGTTTCTGGTAACTTCATCAGGCCAAAATGGTTACATAGAAGTTTAAAGGCCTCTAATTCTCTTCGGACAATGCCTTCTGAGAAGTGTATATCACTAAGGCTTGGGATCGGCAGTTCTTCTGTGGAGGGAGGAAGGAACCTTGCCTCGTTTGTGTAAACTGCTTGGGAAAAACTGTGAAAAATACGCAACTTTATGCCTACTATCAGCAATCTCAACGTCATCAGTAGTCCTTATTAAAGGGTTTTGATGCCTGTTCCTTGTACTTCGTCGGAGGTAGCTGTAGAGTAATTTTGGGTTCTGTGTTTATTTTTGCAGTAATTTTTTCTCAAATTGCCGCCGCGTTTTTATAATCATTTTTCTCAGTTTGTTTCTCTGTGTCTTGTAGGTGTTGAAATATTCAACTTGCCTAGTGACGCAGTATGTTCTCCACAATTTGGGCTTCCTGTTGCTTTCTTTCTTAAGGTTGTTATTTGGCCACCCAGGGCGTTTGTCCAGTCTTGTTCTAGTCAATGAGCAGTGGTTGTTAATGAGCTGCAGAAGGACATTCTTGAACAGCTCCCAGTCATCGTTGGCATTACCCGTAAACAACGGCACTGCTTAAGTAGCACGACTTTTTTCATTGACATTCGATGCCCTTGCCAACTAAATTATATTTCATGGGCAAAATGCATGAACTTATTTATTCTTTCATTCATTCATTAGAAAATTGAGTCCTCTTTCAAGTTTATTCTCGAAGGATAGGTATAACTTGATTTTCTAAATCTTTTCCATTTCGCGAATAATTTTGAACCCGATCTGCGGTTACGCCTGCATTCAGGGTTTGGAGCCTAAAAACCATACATTTATTGCGTACGGAAAATCATTCATTTCTCTACGGTATTATGAGGATCCCATAAGGAATTCATTAAATTTAGCATTGGACTTGAGTCATATCGTAAACTTTACAAGCAATATTACTAAATGCAGGGACATTATGCTTTATGTAGAGCGTTTCGCGATGTAGAAGCATCTCATGGTTAGAAACCCTTTGCAAAGCTGACTTATACCCTTCCTACGAGTATAAATATGGTAGAAGGCGTAATTTTCTACCGACTGAGTAGAAGAATGGATATTTTAATGCCTGTTTTCCGTAGAATATAATGGAATTTTCAAGGGCATCAAACATCAATGAGGAAAATTCATGCTACTTAGATAGTCATCTTTTACAGGGTCCGGTTCTTGCATGCGGCAGGAAAATTACTTGTTTGAAAGCCAGCATCCCCAGGTTACTGACTTATTATGAGATTTTGCTGCGTGATGATTAATTTTATAACCCAAATTGCGTAATCCTTTGCGAAACGAAAACGCTTTTCAAAACTTCAGTCAACATTTCATGCGTTAGCACACCCACTGCATGTCATTAGCCGATGACTTAAGAGGATGTGCAGTTGCAGTAATACCGCTCGTCGCGTAGAAGCAAAAGTTGAGCAAAGCATAAAGGTAATGGCGTCGATTGACTTCACCAATCGTTCAGTCGACCGGGAATGTATTCGTCTTCATACAGTACGTGACCGATCTCATGAAATGATGGCCGAAATTCTGAAATGCGTTTTCGATTAGAAAGGATTACTTAACTGGGGTTGTAATACTGATTATCATACGACACAATCCTTCAGTATTTCTGACTCGCCAGGATGTCGGCTTTTGAACGAAATTCTTTTCGACCTCCCGCAGAAAAAAAACGCGCTAGAGATAACTACATAAATGGCATGAATTTTTCACATCAATTTCCGGTGGTCTTATATATTCCAATGTATTTTATGGCAAAAATCCATAAAAGTATGCTTTTTACTTGTTAGGTAGAAAATCAAACCGTTTTCACATTTATACCCGAAGAAAGTCTATACTTAGCTTTTGAAAAATTGTCCCTATTACCGAATAATTTTGAGCCAGGCCAGCCGTTGCATTAACGTTTGGCGACTGCAGTCTACAAGATGCACATTTTTCGCGCAAGTAAAATCATATATTTTTCTATGCCTTTCAGAAGATACCCTGTAGGGTTCATAAAATGTTGCAATGAATTCGGACTACATTGTACATTTCGTGAGGAGCATTGGCAAACGGACACGTGCGTTCTGTGTGTATGGCCATCGCAAGGTTTTAAAAATCTCATAATAAGAAACTTTTTTGAAACCGACAGATAACCTTTCTTGGGATATAAAATGTAAGGAAAATGTGATTTTCTACCAAATGAGAAAAAAGAAAGCATATTTTGCGCATGTTTTCTACAAAATATACTGGCATTTATAAGACCACCAAAAATCAACGTGAAAAGGGCAGTCTATGTAACTGGTCATTTTTACGACAATCGTTTCTGCAGGAGGCCGGAAAAAAAGTTCACTCAAAAGCCAACATCGTGGCAAGTCCGAAATACTACACGATCCTTGTTTGAAGTAGCCTAGAGTCAATAGAAGCGAAAAGCCGAGTCCCAGGAAGTAGTCTTGAAGAAGGAGACACGATCGCCAGGACAAGAGCTTTATTAGCCTGACGTTTCGGATTCCTACTCGAATCCATCATCAGAGACAAAAGAGCAGAAACGGGTGGTTGTTGCACAAGGGGCTGCGGTATTTATAGGATGCAGTAGCCATGCTACCGCATACCTATGAACGTTCACGGCTCCCCCCTTTCATCCGGGATTGTCGCACTTGGTGTGATCATTGCTTGATGGCCGACATTCGAGTCGATAATTGCTGCAATTTCATCACGTGCGTTGGATGTTGGCGTGATGATTGCTCGACCATCCGACGCATCGACCCCGGTGTTGGGAAGAGTGTTCACCTCTGCGCTCCCCACATGGCGTGTTACCCCGCCTAGGCGAAGTTTCAGTACGGAGTATGGAATGGGAAGATCGTTGCACTTCTTGATGGACTGGGGGCCAGTAAACCATGATTCCAGTAGCTCTCGGCTCACTCGGTTGTCACCTCTTGCGAGAATTTCGGCCTCATCGAATTTAAATGTGTGGCCGGATCTCGTCGAATGAGCCGCAACTTGAGAGCTGGCGTCATTTCTGCGCACCGCTGCTGCGTGTTCGGCCATTCTCGTTCGGAGCTGTCTTCCGGTTTCTCCGACGTAGTTGCTTTGTCCGCAACTGCACCAGATCCGATAAACGACTCCAGACGTTTCTAGCCGTGGCAGTGGGTCTTTCGGTTTCATGATCAGACGCCTGATGGTTGCCTCCGGTCTGTGCGTCACTCCAACCCCAAGTGGTGCGAGAAGGCGGCCGACAGCTTCCGAAACGTTCTTGACATACGGAAGTGCCCCCCAAGACTTGGTGTCCGTGCGGTTAGGCCTTTCGTCCCTTTTGCGTATGCACCGGTCGACAAAGTTGCGCGGGTAGCCATTGGCTTTGAAGACCCGTCGGAGGTATTGTAGTTCAGCAATTTTGTCTTCCGGCTCACTGCAGTGCGTTTCGACACGCCGAAAGAGCGTCCTTACACAACTGCGTTTGTGGCTGATTGGGTGGTTACTGTTGAAGTTCAGTACTTGCATCGTATTTGTCGCTTTCCTGAACACTTTGGTCTTTAGTCCACCACAATCTTTGCGGCATACGAGGACATCCAAGAAGGCCAGCTGGTTGTTCTCCTCCTCCTCCTCCTCCTCCTCCTCCATCGTAAATTGAATGTCCGGGAAGACGGCGTTGAGATGTTCTTGGAACGTCAACACCTGATCCCGTTCGATGACGACGAAGGTATCATCCACATACCGGGCCCAGAATTTCGGTCTGTGGTGTTGGAAGACCAGCGACTCTAACCGTTGCAGGACCGCCTCGGCGATTAATCCCGAAATCGGCGAACCCATTGGTGTGCCCTTCACCTGTTCGTAGATTGTCCCGTCGAACGTGAAGTACGTCCTGAGACAGAGCTTTAAGAGCTGAAGGACTTGGGTGTGTCCAAGACGGTTCTCCGTTTCATCGTATTTGCTTTGTAATAGCAGCTCAATTGTCTCGATCGCCAGGTCCTGGGGAATAGATGTAAAAAGGGATGTAACATCAAAAGATACCATGACCTCATTTGGATGGATGCCTACCCCTTTGAGTTTCTCCAGGGATTGTGCTGACGAAGAGACCGTGGTGTCTGACTCAGCGGTCAGGAACTTGAGACGCCGGAACAGCCACTTAGCCAGTCTGTACGTTGGAGTCCCTTTGAGCGACACGATGGGTCGTAGAGGAGCGCCGTCTTTGTGCACCTTAGGGAGGCCATAGAATCGGGCCAAAGCCGTATCTTGGGGTCTCGCCATGCGTCTGTCGGTCGGTGTTATTGCACCTGAGTTCTCCAAGGCCAACAACGTGGCATTAATTTCGCGTTTCAGCGCCTTTAAAGGGTTCGTTGCACATGGGACATAGAACTGTCGGTCCTCCAGTAAACCTTTGGCTTTTTGAAGGTAGTCTGTCCTGTCCAGTACAACTGTGGCGCGTTCTTTGTCCGCTGGCACGATGACCAGGTCTTTGTCGGCCTTGAGTTCTCTAAGCGCATCACGTGTGACCTAGGAAAGCACTTCCCGCGGCCTGTGGACCATCAGGAGAGACGACACTTGGTGTCGGATGAGGTTCTTAGTCTCCTCCGTTGCCTCCGTCTGACAAAGGATTGATTCCACTGCTGCCGCAGCCCCTTGTGCAACAACCACCCGTTTCTGCTCTTTTGTCTCTGATGATGGATTCGAGTAGGAATCCGAAACGTCAGGCTAATGAAGCTCTTGTCCCGGCGATCGTGTCTCCTTCTTCAAGTAGCCTAGAGCATTACAATAAAGTGCCGGAAGTATTGACTGAGTTGGCGGAAGAATGTTATCACCGATGACAGCAATAGTAATTATTGCTGTGGCATGAGATCCGGTTGCCAAATTTGTAATGGTATTATTAAATTCACTAGTTGCCATTTTTTGGCGAATCGCAGTGGTAGTCGCCGAAGTAGTTTCCGTGGTGGCAGTCTCATTGGTAGTAGCACCTGTTTTACCGATAGTACTAATTGGTAATCGGAATTTTTAATGGCAGTAGTTTACTCGAGTGAAATCAGCAATGCGGATGAGAGCAGTACTGCATTTTTTGTGAATTTAAGGTCCACCGCAATATATCTGCATTCAGCAGTAGTGCAAATTCAGTAGTATTATCACTTGTTTAGGTGACAGTACCCGTATAATTACTAGTAGTAATAGCAGTATTAATGTCGCCGGCGGCATTAGCGGCAATAGAAATACCACTATTAGTAACAGTAAATTACTAAATAAAACATATTTATTAAAGACCCGTCGGGGCCACATCAAAGCAAGTTAAATGAATTTACATACGAATTTCAGACAAGGTAGGCAGAATCTGAACAAAATGGAATTCATAGTTTCTGAATTTTTAGTGCGTTAAGAAAAAGGATGAGCGAGCGGAGAAATGATTGGATTAATTTTACAGGAGAAAAAACCCTCGCTAATAATAACACTGGAATGCAAGCAGGACTGGCCTGCATGTGGTGGTATATAACGGATTATAATCGGACATCGTCAGGGCAGAAATAAATGTCAGCCTTGAGGGGTACGTATGCGGGTCGGACAGGACTGGCCTGCATGTGCCATTGCATATGGGATCCAGAACTGACATCGTCAGGGCGGAATTCATACGCCGTATGAGACTATTCGAGTCAAAGAAGCCAGATGAGACGAGCCCAGATGCGACCGGTCACAGCCCGATTCAAGCCCAGCCGAGGAGTGGGGAAAGAAGGTACGAACAAACCACTAGTAAAGGGCGAATACAAAGGGTTTTGACGTGAGCGTCGACAGACCGCTTGAGGTCGAAATTAGGGAGACGACATCGAGAACCGCGAAAATCGTCGCTATGGAGGAAGAGTTATAGCAACGGATTCAGTTACCAATTAAAAACGGGGTTTCTAAATATATAATTGAGGGTTTCCACTTGATCTACCACTAAATCCCAAGAGGACCCTTCTCAAACTCAAGAAGCTGAGTGTTCGGGAATGAGACCGTTAACAGTGCCACTATGCTTTCCGGTGTAAGGTGTTTGCGTAATTTCGACTTGAATACCAGTAACTCAGTCGATGACCTAATTTCCGACGGAAGATTATTTCAAAGGAAGGCATATTTGGAAGCAAAGAAGAGGGAGCGCTTAGATGTAGTGCAAAGATGCGGCAGAATCATCATGGAGGAGTTGCGCGTGGCATAAGGCCTATCTATTGGAGTGAGAGTGTCAATGACCGGACGATTGGAGCTAGAGTTATTATGAAAAAGGAAGCAAAAGACAGCATCGAGTCTTCTAACCAATAAAAAACTTAATGTTCGCTAGCTGACATCTCTGCGCATAAGAAGTACTGGATGCGACTACAGAGAACAGTTTCCGGATGAAAACCCTCTGAGCATTTTCGATCTTATAACGATTGCAGGCGTTCATTAAACCAAAGAAAGGACGGTGGTATTCGAGGACTGGAAGAACAAACATTTGATGCGGTCTTAGTTTTATTTCTCGAAGGAAAAAATTATGCGATATGAATCCACATATCTGCGCGGCTTTGGCAGAAATTCTATCTGCATGACGTGATAAGGCAAGCTTATTTGCATAACTTAGACCTAGGTCCTTTATAGTAAGACATTCTGAGAGTGGGTTATTCTGAAAAATTATGAGACCATGAAGTTTGGCAGGACCATAAGACATGAATCTACACTTGGATGATGAATACTCCATTTGACATGTTGAACTCCATCTGCTTAAACGTAGTAAATCGGCATGAAATTTTTCAACACTAACGTTTGCGGTGTCCTTAGAGTATGAGTAAACACACTTGAGGTCATCGACATAAATAAAAGTTTGCGAACTCCCGAGTTCAGTCGAAATATCATTGGTGAAAAGAAGGAAGAGTAGCGGATCCAGAACCGTGCCTTGCAGTACGCCACTCGTGATCGAGTAAGCTGTCGAGTAGCTATTACCGACCATGACTTTCTGATATCGGCTGGACAGATAGGACCTGATGAAGTCAAGTATAGGCGGCCGGATGCCGAGATCTTCCAATTTTACTAAAAGACGTCTATGGGGCAACTTGTCGAAGGCTTTTCTAGGATCAAAGTAGATACCTACCACTGACTGCTGCTCATTTCGAAGATAAGTGATTGGATTAATAAATGCCAAGCGGCAATTTTCGCAGGATCGCTGAGGTAAAAATCCATGTTGACTAGATCACAGAATCCGATTAGCTAGACAGAAGTCAAGAATTTCACTGAAAATTACCCTTTCAGGGAGCTTTACAAGAGACAGCGTTTCGTGCACGCCCCGATAGTTATTAACATCGGACCGAGATCCAGACTTGAAGACGGGAATGATAGTTGACGTTTTCCATGTTTCAGGAAAGAATTCTTTCGAAATACAAGCCGAGAACAAATGTCTAAGCAATATGGGAAGGTCGGATGCTTCTTTAATAATCGAATTTGGAATCCCGTCCGTTCCTGAGCAGTGGCAGTTTTTCAAAAGACTTATGTGTTTCTTAATGAGATCTGAGGAGACATCGATTGTATTCAGTGTCCTCTGTGAAAGTGAACGAAAGAAGGGATTGGTTCGGACTCATATGAATGTGTTTGGCAAAAAAGCACTAAACGACTTTACCTTGTCAGTGTCATCGATGATGAAGTCTTTGTTATCATTTAGCATGGGTTGAAGTTCGTGACCATGCTTAGAGGAGGACCGATGACGGAAGATGTTGGCGACGGATTTGCCAGGATTCGAGTCACTGAGGGCAAGTGATTCTCTTTGCCTCTCGCGCGCTTGGCGCATCCTTGAGGCCATTTCAAAAATCTCTCTGGTTCTAAGATGAACTGTTAAGGAACTAGTTGATAGGTCACGCAGCAGCCACCCCAAATTTATTAGTCTGTTGTGAAGAAAATGAGGAACAAGGGAATCTGAAGAGTTAGGCTTGAGATATCTGCGCGGCACAAACTCTAGGATGTCCTTGGAAACATTGGACATGACATCACGAGGGATGGTTGCATCGATACAGGATAGGAAGCCACACCATTCAAATGATCTAACATAGTTATTTATTAAGTTGTTATCTACGTAATCGTCATCTACGTAATCTGCACGTTGCGCACGCAGATATGGTCAGTCGACCATGCCAGCCACCGCGCCCATTCTCCACTCCAGTCTGCTGACCTGCTCGGACAGTGGCTGAGGTGTTGGAATGGGAAGGGAGAGTGAGGTCGACGACTCAGCGCACTTTTCTCATTACTATCAACAATCTGACTCACTTGAAGCTATCACGGCGCGCTAAAAGCCGTGGCTTCGAATGTTGACAACGGACGGGATAACTTGGACCTCGACTGGTGGTCTGTGAGTCAGGCCGCAATGGCTCCTTCCTAATGTGGCCTTTATGGCTCTCTCACTATGTGGTATCCGAGCCAGGCGTTGGCGGCACGCCTAGGTGCGGTTGCTTCGGCCATGCCAGCCTCCGCTATTTGTTGTGTTGGTGAAAATCCTGGTCATTTGTTGTGTGGAGCGGGGGGTGCGGAGTGGAGCGCCAAGGTGAGGATCCGTCCGAGCCATCCACCTGCGGCCTCCCTCGTCTCCGGTCTTCTCGACTCTGTCTTGACATCGGACTCAGGCGAGGGAGGAGGATAGATTGCGGTTAATGCAGCGCAAGTCTACTGGCACTATAAACCCCTGCGCAAGTCACCATCCCTGCTCCCGCCACTGCTGAGATGGGACATACGGTGGACATCGTCGGATGCGACGGGCGAACCATCCACGTAATCGTTCGAACCGTGCTGGTCTTTTTTGAATAGGCAAGTGGTAATCAACAATGAATTAATACGTGGTCACTATCAAAGAGGTCCTTTTGAAAGCAATAAAAAGAGGAGCAAAGTGATTGGTAAAGATTAGACCTAAAACGTGATTATTTCTTGTTGGAGAGCGCACCAGTTGGGACCAGTTAGAAAAATTGCAAATATCTTAGAAGGGCTGGAATCTAGGTGGACAGATATTGAAAACCTATCTATTTCAGGAAGGTTAAAAATACCCAGAGGTTTTTTTAACATCGAAAGCAGCTTCCGAAACTAGTTTAAAGATTTCACATTGTTGTGAAGCATCACTGGCTGAAGAATTTGGGGGATTGTAGATACAACCAATAGTTGCCTTTATTTGCGACGAGGAAACCACGCGTTCTGGTTAAAAAAATTGACAGCCTGCATGAGTTAACGATGACCTACACACCTGTGGGTGTGTCAAGTACTTAAAACATGACGATGTCATGCTTTAAATACTCCTTAACCCACTCGGGACTTATTTCCATAACAGACTGCACAGTGGTACCTGGGCAAAATATTTTACTTTCAATGGCACGGTTTACTATGGTGACTTGTTAGTGACTTTGTGTAAGTAATCTTCAACGGCATTATAAGTAGGAGGTTATCTGTTTAGTAGTCCACTCACGTTCCTAACTTCCTCCGCGTGAGGTACTGTAGATGTGCAAACTCAGGAAATGTTAGCCTAAATTCCGAAGTCCGGTTTCGATTTAAAAAAGATTACGTACGTCGGATTGCAGTATTCATTACCGTCGAGCATAATCACGCAATACTTTAGCTGCTTCAGGATGCCAGCGAAAGTCTTTACGGTCGCCTGTAAAACCTACACTTTGCGGAAAGCAATACCTCAGTAGTACGACTTTTTATCATTGAATTTCACTGGCCTACTAAATTAAAATATATTTCACTAACGACATGCATAAACACACTCATCCTTTTACTTATTTAGTACACAATTACGCCTCCTTCTTCCTCAACTTTTGAACTTGAAGAAGGGGTGTACTTCGGCTTAAAAGAAGTTTCTACGCATGAGACTGCTAGAGACCATGACATGCCAGTTCATAAAATATCCCATCTCTGCATTTACTAATATGGCTAGTATAGCTTGCGAGCTACTTCAAATCCACTGCTAAATTTTACAAATCCCCATTGATATCCCTTCCGGGTATAAAATTCGAAGAAGAATCAATATTCTTGTGCATGTCTCTTACGAAGTATGGCTAATATTATAAGGTTGTCAAAATCAGTGATAAAAGAGCTATACTACTTAAGTGGTCATGTTTACACGGAGTGCAGTTTTTGCAGGCGACCGGAAAGAAGGTCCTTCAAAAAACTGGTTCTCCCGAGGTAACTGGTATATCATAGGATTGTTCTCGTTGTAACTAATATTACAGTCCCACCTATATTTGGTGGGCTAACTCATGAAACGTCGACCGAAATTCTAAAATGCGTTTTCGTTTCGTAAAATTACTTAAGTAGGGTTGCAAAGTTAATCATCTTACAGTACAATTGTATAGTAATTCAATTACCACGGGATGCCGGCTGTCGAACGAACTTATTTTCGGCTGCGGGCAAAACCCACGCTCGGCGAAAAATGACTACCTAAGTAGCATACATTTTTCTCCCTGATGTTCGATGCCCTCAAAAATTCAATTATGTTTCATGTAAAACATGCATGGACTTATTCGATCTTCTACTTATTGGATAGAACATTATGACGGTTTCCAATTTCGCACTCGACGGAAGGGTATAATTCAGTTTTAAAAACTTTGCCAATTCCGGAATAATTTTGAACCTGACCTGCAGTTAAATTTGCATTTAGGGTTAAGAAACTACAAGCCATGTATTTTCCACTTACGGATAACCGTAAATGTCTCTATGGTATTAAGAGGACACCATATGGGGTTCATAGAATTCAGCAGTGAATTTGAGCCATATTATTAACTTTACAAGCAACTTCAGTAAATGCAGAGACGCGATGTTTTATGAACGGGCATTCCACGGTAATAAAAAAATTTCATAATTAGAAACTTTTTACAACCCAATTATACCCTTTCTTCGAGTATAAAATTGGAAGTAGACGTAGCTTTGTACTAAAGGAGCTAAAGAATGAATAATTTTATGCGTTTTTTTCCATGAAATATAATTGAATTTTTATGGGCATTGAAAATCATTGCGAAAAATGCATGCTACTTCGGTGGCCATTTTTTACAAAGTGTGGTATTCACATGCGGTCTAAGAGAAGCTCGCTCGAATGTCAACATCCCGGGGTAACTGACTTATTATGGATATATGTTGCATGATGATTAATTCTGCAGCGTCCCCTTGATAATCGCTTCGAATCGAAAATGCGTTTAAGAAATTCGATTAATATTTCACGCGTTAGCCGGCCTACTGTATGTAATCTCCTGGGATCGAAAGCTCATTTCGAAACTTCTGTAAAAATTCACTGCACTGGCACATGTACCGTGCACTGCGGCTACTGCGATCACAGGAAGACAGAGTTTGTACGCTTGACGTCTCACATTCTCACTCGAACCCATCATCAGAGACGATCGCAGACGAGTTGGAGTGAGAATCCGTGTTATTAAGTTAATAAACCTTCTGGTTCCCCTGACTGCTGCTAACACATTCCATGGTTAATATTTGGCACGCGCACCTTCATTCATGCAAAATAAATTTCCTTGAGATAACTAAACGAGGTCTGTGATAAAGTAACGGTTAAGCATGTAGGCCGAGGACGGCACGCGACCTACTAGTAAGAAATGTCCAAGATTTGTCAACTTAAACCTTGCCTTGTTATTTGATGTACTGTAGAATTTATTTCTTAGAACTTTCGCATATCGGACTTAGATAGATTATATCATAAAAACTTTAGTAAAACAGTTTACCACGTCAGTCAGCTGCCTAGGTAACTTCATTTGTATGCCATACCGGTCCTATGTATTCATAGATGTATAGTGTTGCTATTCAATTAAATCGTACAGCAGTCATGACGTCAGCAGGTTTTTTCGACTGACCTACCTTTCCGTTATTACTTTCGTTCCACCAAATACTTCCCTAATCATTTTCCTGCTATATCATTTGGTTACTTCATTAACCAGTGTGTAAGCAGGTTAGGAGGGAGCGTGATCGTCTTCTCAAAAAGCCCATATTATACAGCCTCCGCGGACCCTTACTTTGGATTGGATATGCCTCCAAATGCCGCATAGTGAATACAACATTCTCCTCCTATATGATCATAGCCACACCACAGTTGGCGAACTTGCTTCCTACCCTTACTCGGCCTTCCGCCATGGAAGTGGTAGGTGTACGGTGGACGGCGCAATGGCGTCCTTTGAACATAACCATTATCGCGCATCCGATGCCCCCTGTTGTGGCCCTTTCCCGAGAAAATGTCGAAACGCCCCCCCCCCGTTTACTTCCTTCGCACAGCGCTAACAGTACATGCACCTACACCTGCCGGTTGGTCAGCCTACAGGACAATGCGGTTTACGTTCAAACCCGGCCAATAGCGTTAATGAGTGATGTGCCAGGTCTCCTCCTGCCTTCCCATTGGCTGCTTTCTTAGTCTGAAGGTTATTTATGGTTTTTTGATGCGTTTATACACATTTTGACGTAAATGTATTTTGTAAATTATCACGTACTATATCTCTTGCCGTTTGGCACGTTCTAGGGGTTCCACCGGTACAACTTCTCCTACAACCATTCCCGTAAAACAAGTAGATGGGGGGAAAAGTTTTCTTAAGTGTTGCTACATTGTATTCTCGCCGGAACTTGAATGGGGTCTAGCCAGGTTTTATGCGAACCGTACATTTTCCCACAGCCCAAAAACAGATACAAACGGTGCATTATCGTCGTAGGTAGTAAGAGGAAGGTAAGAGTCGGCGGACAGCCGAAAATTGTGGTCAGTCAGCACATAGGGGCAACATACCCCGTGGAAGAATCCACAGTGGGTCTATTGGCCATCATAGCGTAAGACAGTCATACGTTCCAATTTTGGAGGTTGTGACCTTCAGCAAAGGCCTTCTGCAAGTTGGCGGTTGCTCAACTCGTCGGCTCCATCTAGCCGTTCCGTTCTAGGTGAGCTGATATGGTATGGGTTTTTTGTATTATAATAAGGTCACGGACTTTGCTCACTCGTCGACTTTCAAAATTTACTCCGCTATAAGAATGCAATGAATCTGGTGCTCCGAAGCTGCAGATCCTGTCATTGGGTAAGTAGGTTTTAACCGACTCTGCGTCCTGGCGTACTAGTGGGTTTGCGTTCATCCGTTTAGTTGAATGATCGACCATCACTAGAATGTAGCGATTGCTGGATGAAGTAACTTGGAGGGGTCCGGTTACATGAGTGCTCCCATATTCGAACGGAAAGCCTGCAATAATTGACTGGAATGGTTTCCTGCAATAGGGTTTGTGTCCTTTAAAAGATACACACGTGGAACTCGTAGTACGAAAATGGCAAATCGTCCTCTAAGGCGCGGCCACCAAAGACGTTGCTTAGCTGCGGCCTCTCTTTTAATATGTTCGACGTGTCTGAGTTCATGTTGGAGGCATAACGTAGATAATATTGTTCTCACGAAATGACGAACAATACCTTAAGAAACCTGCGTAGGACGATCAGTAAGGGAATCCAGTAGGTGAGTAAAGTTAATATTCAAAAAGCCCAACGGCCTGATTGTAATGCACGCCAGGGATGCGGAAGTTGACATACAGTGTTGTATCCGCCACGCCAAAACATGCAGTACAACAAAAGAAAGGTGACGAGATTGTCAAAGGACAATTAGTCTGACCCCTTGCCAGAGTCAATCAGATCAGACATTCTAGACTATGGGTAGCACGAGCCGAGGTGAGTTATGCGTGTCATCCTTGTTAAATAACACTTCATTTTTTCATGCGGAAACGGGTCAATGGTTCCGTAAAATGTAAACAATCTCAGCTTAGCCACGCAGTTCAGTTGGCAGTTGTTTGCGCTTGAGTTGATGGTCATACACCATGGCAATATAAAAACCCGTGTCCCGAGCCACCGGCCACTGGTGCTGTGTTGGTTAACCGATGGTAAGGACATTGATATGCTCAGTGGCGTCGAGTTGTTCCTTACTTTCTGGGCTGAGAAGAAGTCGTGACAATGCTTTCTCGTTAAGGTGTTTCTGGCCAGACTGAGGCTGACGAGTAATATCGAACTGTTTTAGCGCTCCTGCCATCGTGCTAATTGTCCCTCAGTGTCCTTAAATTTCTAAAACCACCACAGTGCATTATGGCTAGAGCAGATAATGAATTGTCTGCCGAGATTAAAGGGTTTGAATTTCATGACAAGCAGCTTCCAGGGACACGTGCAATAATTGCGCCGCAACTTGCAAAGGATCTTACCAACGAAACAGACGGATCTCTCAATCCCATTCTCATTACACTGTGAAAGGAGGACATTGATGGCAAATCCTCTGACGTCGCTGTCTAGGATTGACGGAGGAGCTTTGGGTCGAGTGTTCGGTGGGATTTAGATGAGTGCCGTAGTTAGTCGAGTCTCAAATTCGTCCAAGACACTGACACTTTTCCGTCCATTAGAAGTTTCGCCCTTTTTACGTGAAGAGGTGTCGTCACCGTGCTACCTCAGAGGAGTGTAGAATAAAATGTCTGCAATACGAAACGTGGCCGATGAATTCCCTCACTTACGTGGCTGTTTTAGGCGTAGGCCAGGGTTTGATTGTTTTTATCTTCTCGGGTGAATTGCAAATGTCATCGGTGTTAACTTCGTGCGCAAGAAACGTAAATTTATTTCCCAGGAATACGTAATTCCGCTGGTTTAGGCGGCGACCGGAGTCATGCATTGTAACCTGAAGAACCGTGAGATTGTCTTTTTACTGGTCGACAGTTTTCCCCAAGACGATAGTATCGTCCAGGTACATAAAACAGTGGCTGGAGTATAAGTATGTCAACACAGCCGGCATTAAACGCAGTCGCATATATAAGGCAAAAGGACATTGTTTGAACTCAAACGGTCCTTCTGTCTTCTGTCTGCCCTTTAGTTCCACTTCCATCTGACAGTGTCTTGCTTTCAGGTCGTGCGTTGAAAAGCATCGCGCCCCAGTAAGAACATTAAGGGTAACGCCAAAGCCTGGTAGAGGGGAGGAGTCCCGAGTCAAAACTGCGTTGAGACGATGATAACTGATACGCTGGCATAGTTTGTCATCCTTTTGTGTGGCGAAGTAACGGAGGACGCCCAAGGTAAATGACACGGTCTAATCACACATGTGTCGAACATAATCTGAACCATCTCGACAACTTCCTATTGGAAGTATGACGTTGGTCACAGGGGTTTCGCGGACCCGGTTTCAATAGTATGTCTAATGTCTGTCAAACGTCCCAAAGAACGGATATCCCGGGCAGAAAGGTCTTTAGAGGTTTCTGGAAGTCTTAAGACAGGCCCAGTCGTAAGCACCGATACTGACGTGGTTTGTAAGGACGCCATTCAAGCAGGTTTTTGGTAATACAACGGCAACGGAGATGGCCCCACCGACATCCTCCGTAAGGGCTATTGGTAATAGTGGCGATAGTGGAGTTGGCTGAGTGTGAAAGTAAATAGTACGCTCCCGAACGCAGAGTAGAAAGCCATGAGTAATTAGGAAAGCAACCCTTGATAAGATAGCAAAATTTGGTGTTGGACTTATCAAGAAGATACATTGTTTAATACTAGTTGGAAATACAGCACACTGGTTGTTAGTTATACCATTGAAAGACTTGGGCGAAAGAATATCAGCTTTAACTCGAGAAACTGTTGCCGCGCTATCAACTAAAGCCATAACTGAAGGGTTGTCTGTCCGAACAGTTGTTTAGAATGGTGCCTTAGTATGGGGGCTCGACGAAGAAAGAAGGACGACGTGAATGAGGGACACACCGTCTCCCAAAAGTGTTCCATCATGGAGAAGGGTGAGCGCAGCAAGCAATCTTTGGGAGAACAGCTAGGGTTGATGGGTCACCGATCGAAAACGGTAGCACCATAGCTTTCTCGCTTTTGGCTTTGGTCGTGGTGATATCAAAGTGTCCCGGCAGAGCGTCATTTGCTGAGCTCGGGACGGAATGATTGGAACCATTGTGGTGCTCTAAGGACTGCTCCTTCGCGGTTGCTAGGTGGCTGGATACGCGGAAAATACACCAATGCTTTAGAATTGGGTATCCTTTGATGGGATACAAAACGACGTGACTTCTATCGGCACCCGCCAATCACCAGGCACACAAGTTCGTTTGTCAGTTTTTCGGGGCACCTGGCCGACAAAGCGGCACCGCATATGCAGCCCATCTACTGCTCCTTCGATCGGGAGATTTTTTGAAATGGCATCTAACGCTCGTCATAAAGACCTCTAAAGGAAATCTGTTGGATTTTTGACGACAAATCGACAGCGTTGAATCGGAGGGGCTGTATTAAAAAAGAAGTGCAGTCGTCGTAATCAGCAAATAAAGTCAATTTTACCGTCAAATGGACAAAAGGTTTATCAAATTTTCAGACATTATACTTTTCACAAGATGATCGCAAAATTCTTTTGCACAGGAACAATCGATTGCATTTTGCCTGATCTCCTGATCTCATGATCGCTTGATATCCGACGTCTCTCCGCCCACTAACCCGTTCATTTGGCAAAATAAAAAACAAAAACGGAGCAGAGAAATATTGCCCGTCCCAATAAAAAGGGTGAAACTGCCTCCTATAAAAGCAACACCTTAAGCTGCGGGGTCCGTCCCCTATTGTTGTTTTAAACGACAACAATTTTGCGCGCATTTTTGTTTTTTCTTCCAGGATCCCTGACAGTTGCCTGGTTCAGGCGCGCCATGGTGTGTTGGCGAGCATGCAAGCGAAATTTGATCTTGATTAATCATGCTAAGTGCGTGTGCATTAGCATGTTTTCCTTCCCTTGATGGTCCAATTGCTGCAGGTTAGCAGGGATTCCCGACCCACGATATCGCGGTAATCCAGAAAAGCAATTTGTGTCAAATAGCACTACCTTCGAAGTTTCCTGGCCTGCGTGCAGACATCGTGTCGAGAGAATCCCTGTGAGGGTCAACAACTTCCTGCACAGTACTCACTACCAAGTATACTTAGTACACGTGCACTAAGTACTCTTAAGTACACGTACGTGTAGCATGAAATCTATCAGGGGTGACAGAGACGGCTGGCCTACCTTCCACGACGCACTGTCGTAAGGACTGGTGAGATATATTTAACTTTCGGTGACCATTGTCTTCATCGCTGGACTTCATAGATATATTTACAAATCACGACTACACCCACGTTATCCACTAATTGGGGCGTATGAGGTTGTAGGGTTTACAAGCGCAGTCCACTTTGAAGACGGGATTGAGTGGTCATCCAGCATCATCTCTCTATTCATTCCTTTAGGGCGCACTCGTGGCTGTGAAGAAACCGTTTGTATTTGGAGGAGGAGAGGGGAAGGCATGCACTGCCGATGGCACCTAAAGTGTCAGCAGTGTAGTCCTTTAAGTTTGAGGAATCTGTAGGATAAAGGAAGTAATCAGCCATGTTAATGAGCTCATTATAAACCATCAGAACACGTCCTGCGCTGTCACACAGAATATTCTTGACATACTATCATCTCACCGAGACTAGTGCACCTATTGGTTGTTGATGTGTTTACTCGGACACAGTTCTGCCCTCGTCTCACGATACAGAGGTAAACCGTCTATGGCGGGATTCACCACTACTCTTCCACCCTCTACGACTACATACTCGCTTCCTACTAACCGGCGCAGCTGCTTCTTCAAACGCAAACACCGCTACCCATGGGAGCTACTTGAGAGGTGTACGACGCACCTAATAGCGTCCGTGGGTCTGCGACCGACTTTGAAATAGCTGGCCTTATTATTTCTAGAAGAATGCGATGATGGCAGTGCGCTGTATGTGAATACAGTGCCCATCCACACAACCTAGTTGGTATACGCTTATCCATTGACAAGTCATCATATACGACAACATTTTCGACGCAAGTCGTACACTCTGCATATGAGATACCACTTGTCAAAGATGGTACCGGGCTGGTGCTTCCACTGTCGCACGAACCAACGTCAACTCAGCAGACAGGTGACGACTCCCTGTCTGAACCGTTCGCTCGAGAGCGTTTGCTACTACAAAAAGGATCTACCCACTCTTCTACATCTCTAGACGTTTTCTAGATCTATTTCTTCACACGCCGCCTTAAAGTACGTCAACATTCCTGTGTAAACATTGCAGACGCAATGATCAGGGTTAAACAGAATGAAATAAGTATATGACGGACTTCAGTGGAGCACGCTGGAACAGACGCGACACCTTGCACTCACCCACTAACGGTGACGTGGACGCGCGCGCACAATTCCCGTTAATCCAAATAAGTCAATGAATGATCGCGCATAATGTGCTATTTCGTTATCCAACCAGATGTTGGAACACCCGTATCGTGAGAATTCCACAATAACAGTACACCTAGTCGCCATACAATACCGCCAGGGTGTACAAATTCAACCTTTATATCGTCATTAATAAAGTCTTTCTGTCTTGGCTATTTGCTCTATCCTTCATTCTCAGTCTGCTTGAATTGCATGACATTACATGTGATGAAACAATGAATCCTTCAGATACAAAACTGGAAAAAACACCTGAAGCTACTGAAAGCTGAATTCGCCAACTGCCGTTATTGAAGTCCAAATCTGCCCGTCCGCCTTTGGACAATACGCCTGTTAATCTAGGGTCTCTAGTGCCTATAGCACCGCGGTGTAATTAAGCAGGCCGGACGTAAATCATCCATCAACGTTTTTGCGTCATGGTCTGCCGAAAATTCGACACCATTATTTTTTTGTCGAACCGTCTTTTATCCCATACAGCTGCCGCTCGTGGACAGCGAATACCGTACAAACAAAGTTATGAATGGCTGCTGGACGTTCATAAAAGCAGAGCAAGAGCTAGATTTCCATGGATTCCAAGGTCTGCCTACTGAACCTGTCAACATTGCTTTATAATAGGGAACCGCCCACTATTTGTTCTGTAGGTCATGTTCAAAGAAAACTTCCAGAAATGAGGGCCGATCTCGTGGTTCCTGCGGATCTGGACTCATGCGAGTTAAAGCCGTATGTTGCGTGGCGGGCAAACGTCGTGGATGAACCACCTGTAAACTCCGAGTCTCTATTTAAAATTCGTTATGCCGAAGAGATCAAGAGACTCCATGACGAGGGCGTTAACAAAGCTGATATACTGAAAAAAATTTGATCGCAATATACTATTCTAGTTTCTCAGTACAGTTTCTCATTCTTCACGTCTTTTCATATCGTAGTCTAGTTTCCGTGGTGTATGCTTGATCTAACCAGGCTTTCTCTTTACTGCAATATTCGGGCGGTTGCCTGTTAAGAAACTTCTACACCTGTACCAAATTCAATGTGGAATGGGCGCACACCGATCTATTGACTTTCCGAAGCATACAAGCTCCGTATGGGTGGCAGAGGCCACGAACAGGCAACCAACTACCAGACCGAAGTCGGCCAAGTTATAATAGCAGCGAGGAGGGACGACAGAGAATGCGGGTAGATTCGGTCCATCATAACCCTGCGAATAAGGAGGAACGATCGCTGGAACAAGAGCTTTATTAGCCTGACGTTTCGGATTTGAGTGCGAATCCGAAACATCAGGCTAATAAAGCTCTTGTTCCAGCGGTCGTGTCTCCTTCACGACTACTTCCTAAGACTCGCCTCTTCGCGTTTATTAGCTAATCATAACCCTGACCAGTAGCTGGGACCAGAAACACAAACAAGCGGACAAACACACATAGCGCAGTTGGCCCACCACTGTGGTCTGCCAGATGGATCACATGCACGTCATCGAACCGAAGTTTATCAGTGTTTCGCCACCTGTCATTCTCTGTGGCCGCAGATCGAGTACCGCATCAATCTACCCGTAGTCTCTGTCGTCCCCTCCTCGCCGCTATTACGATTTGGCCGACTTCGGCATGGTAGTTGAATGCCACCTGTCATTCTCTGTGGCCGCAGATCGGGTACCGTATCAATCTACCCGTAGTCTCTGTCGTCCCCTCCTCGCCGCTACTACTATTTGACCAACTTCGGCGGGGTAGTTGAATGCCTGTTCGTGACCTTTGCCACGCATACGGAGCTTGTTTGCTTCGCGAAGCCAATAGATCGGTGTGCGCCGATTCCTGGTTGAATAAACACGCGATCTGCAGCGACAGAGAATGACAGGTGGCGAGGCACAGATGAACTTCGGTTCGAAGACGTGCATGTGATCCATCTGGCAGAGCCCAGTGGTAGACCAACTGCGCCAGGTGTGTTTGTCTGCTTGTTTGTGTTTCTGGTGCCAACTACTGGTCAGGGTTATGATTGGCTGGATGGGGACAAAGTAAACCCGAAAGAGTACTGTATCAATCTACTCGCATTCTCTGCCGTTCCTCCTCACTGCTATTATAAATTGGCCGACTTCGATCTGGTGGTTGGTTGCCTGTTCGTGACCTTTGCCACCCATACGGAACTTGTATGCTTCGGGAAGCCAACAGATCGGTTTGCGCCCATTCCGGATTGAATTTGGTACAGGTGGAGAAGTTTCTTAACAGGCAACCGCCAGTTGCGGTTTGACACAACCTTGCATCTACCCCAGCACCTAAGGACGCTGTCCGGCGCTTCAAGGGTAGTAGAACCTTGGGAGATAGTCACCTATTACGGTGATTGAAGTCTTGTAACGCCAGAGGAAACGCAACTCATTTGTTAGTTCAACCGCAGTCCACATAGCGCGTTAACGGTCAGTCGCTAATAGGACCGTTCTTCAGCGAGGTACAGTTGGAAAGTAAGCCGTTTCCCGCGTCTGACATACGGACATTAGCTGGTCATCAGCGTCAAGGCTACCAAAATGCAGAGGTTGGGTTTTTGCACAAAAGCTGCCCCCAAAAGGTGTCGCGACGTCCCTTTTACTGCACGAATCCATGACGGTTACAGACCGCCACGAAACCTGCTTTGTTGGATGTCCACGTGTCTGGCTAAGACCTAACGAGTCGACCTGGCACATATCCCCTCTAAGTCTATGAATTGGCATGTTTATTAACAAACCTCGAATTACACTACACATGCGTCTGAACCCCTGCTACTGATTTGGAAGGAGCAGAGAATTGCGGATAACATAAAGACTAGCTTTTCATCAGCAACAAGGCGTTGACGTTCTAGCATTGGTTCAACACGGAATGGATTTCACCACCTCCAAAGTTTGCTCGGTAGTTCGTGACTCGCTATTGCTAGACTCCCGGACTTTTCATGTTTGCACTTCTACAACAATTTTGGCACTGGCTGTTCGAGTTAACCCTACACAAAGGTCGTCCAGTGGGCAAACCCGCACTTCTTCAATGCCTTGTCGTAATCAGTTGTACCTGTGCACTTTTTACCGTTTTCGCGAGTTGTACAGCCTGTGCTATGTGCGCCCCAGTCAGGAAGAATGCGACGGCCTCGTGTCGCATCATAAACAATAGCAAGGTTTACCCAAGTGCGTCATCTTTTCTTTGCGGTGGGTTATGAGATGAAAATGAGAAACTGAGATGAGTCCACAAAGCAAGCTATCGACTATTGCGCAGTGAGGAATCGCTGCGCCGAAAGTGAGGCACCAGTCGTTTTTGCTTATGTAGACCGTTTGGTCATCAGAAATTACTGTCCGAAGCCACGAAAGAGGTCAGTATCATTCGAAATCAAACAATATGCACAATCAAGTACCATCGGCTACACGCATACCAGTTGATGACGCGTTGTGTCGACGACGGAAGCGCGAACGGCCCTGATTAAGATATTGTGCGGGATCGGCTACGTCGGAGACTGCGTTATAGGGTGACGTAATCTTTATTGGACTAAGGCGCCTACCGTTTCGGGCGTCATACTATCCTTTTGGGTTTCAGTCAACGGCGGCACTAAGAGCCTGTATCTTATGCGGATAGCGAATTGGTCCACTGGCCCGTCTACTTCAATGATGGAAGCCAATCGAGGTGTGGCAATGGCGTCACCGCAGGCGAATTATCGTACGAAGGAAGTGTCCGGAGGACGTGCTTGTGAGATAATTGTAGGTCCTCGAATGCCATAACTCTGTCCTCCAATCTATCGCATGGCGTTGGTGGGAAATATGCCACGGGTCGACTGCGAAGAAAAATCGTCCGAGGGAGAAAAATCATGACAAAAAAATGCGTACGGCAGAAGTAGGTGAAGACCAAAGCCGGGTCTGACGTTATTTCAAGACCGTGTATGAAACTAGGCTATACCAGAAGTAGGTGAAGACATGGTCAGAGGCGGTTAATTTTCATTTGGCTTTATTGGAAATGAAGCACGAAACGAATTCCACAAATTTCGTCGGCATCGAACGGGTACGTAGTCAGCCTCTTGTCCTAGCTTGTAATTAGGCGTTAATGAACAATCTTTAGTCGGAATAAGATTACCGGCAAAGACCGGGGAGACGGGGATGGTCGTTTCTGACTTATTAACCGTCGTTAACCAGTAATACCCAATGCCGAAGTGTGGAACACCTAGTCAGCCAGAATTATGTATTCCATCGACACTTCCTTGCTAATTTGCAAATGTCGGGCTTGCCGCCCGAATCTAGCAGAATTACCTGCCAGCTTTATATGCAGAATATTCTTCATCGGGCCCTTGCTACTGATTCCTTAAGGTTGTGGTTTTTCTGATGCTTTGGGCTTACGAGTGAGCCAAACAGTGAATTCAAAGGTATGCTAGTTACCGCAGGTGTTGTGAGAGATACAGGGACGCGTGTTGAAACCCCCACGTTCACACAATGGACTTGCTGGCCCCGTAGCAGCTCCCTATTAAGCAATAAGTGGGTTTGTTTACCTTGTTTTTCGGCCTTGCAAGTCGTCCGCGTCTGATGTACTGCTAGCCGACGTCTGACTGTTCCAGATCTCGTACTTACATCGTCCGCAGCCATTCTTAGCCAGCTCAAGATTCCGCAGCACTACAACACTGAATGGTCCCCTATGAATGGACAATCTGCAATCGTTTACATAACAGTACTTGTACTCTCCACGGCCGCAATCTTATCGCGGATTGTACCTCTCCACGCGTGGCAGTCCGCGGTAACGGATCTGAACAGCTAGACCCCTTCTCTCTTAAGGCGACGGAGACCGATTACTGCAGGTCCAAGAGCCACAGTGAACTGTACCGAACTAGGTTTTGAGTTGACCCTCTCTAAGCCTCCGAGTGGGCAACGGCGCCGAATCGAGGGCGTAACATCGAACTCATAGAGCGGACGACAAAGAACGTGCTCAAACCACCTCAGCCATCATTCTTGGATGGTCTGAGACATGCTCGCGATGGAGATGTTGCGCCAGGTCCATAAAGGCCTTCTAGGGATTGCGGAAAGTTTGTCACCAGCCTCGATTCGGTAGATAATGCCGTCTATCCTCTATCCATTTGATTGCAGTCTCACCCCAAGTTTTTTAGAACTGTCTTCCTCTAGTTAACAACCGTCTATCTCGAGGCGTACCTTCTGATCAGAGATTCAGCTCATTACTTTCATGGACTAATCAAGCAAAGTAGCTACTTCATTCATCCATGACACCACAAACTAGACAATCAAAGCTTGGTGCTAGGTAAACACTGTCATGGGCGTATTTCAGACCAGTCAGCAGACGTCTAAGTGCGGCGACAGGTTGCAGTTGATAAGTCGTTGCGAAATTTGTTCGTTCCAATAAATTCTGTTGTGAATACCCGTTTCGACTTAACGCCCAGGAACTATTGCATCACACTCGACATCATCAAAACCGTGTACGACCCTTACGAGAATCCATTCGCTGGCATGGCTGAACTGAATGGGCGACAAGATGTAACCTTGTCGAACACCAGACCCGATATAGAGTGGTCGGGACAGATTGTTATGCACAAAATCATGCGTGAAATGGTGCAGCGATAGTAAGCTTTGATCGAGGCGGTGATTTTTGCCGGCACACCACATAGTTTCATTACTCGCCACAGAGACGCAAGATGTGCAGTTAAACACTGCGGCAAGGTCAACGAGACGAAAGCAGCCATCGGTTACTGGTCGCCACTGCGGAATTCAAAGAGGGGGTGCAGTGTGTATAATGGGTTGCATTCGCATCTGACCCAGACATCGGGTTGACTGGGTCTCATCCGCGAGTCACCACGCTTTACCATCGTCCGAGAATGATAGCGGCCACAGCCTTTGAAACAACGCCGATTAGCCTTATGCCGCAGTAGTTTTCGCGC